TTCCCTCAGACCCAGGAGTCCAGTCCCAGGCCCCTCCTCCTCAAGACCCAGGAGGCCAGATCCCCAGGCTCTCCTAAGGCCCGGAGTCCAGATCCCAGCTCTTCCCTAAGGACCCAGAGTCCAGATCCCAGCCCCTCCTCCCTCAGACCCCAGGAGTTTCCAGATCCCCAGCTCCTCCCTAAGACCAGGAGTCCAGAGTCCCCGCTCTCCCTAAAAGGACCCAAAAGTCCAGATTCCCAGGCCCCCTTCCTCCCTAGACCCAGGGAGTCCAGATCCCGCCCCCTCCTCCCCTCAGACCCGGAAGTCTAGGGCCCTCGCCCTACTCCTCTCTCAGACCCGGAAGTCCATGCTCCAGCCCTCCTTCTTCAGACCCGAACTCTGGGTCCCAGACCCTGTTCCTCTCTTCAGATTCCCAGTATTCCCGGACCCCTGCCCCCTTCTCTCTCTTCTCTCTGTCTCTCTGTTTCTTCATTCTCTGTTTATTCCTGCCAAATATCCTCAGACAGATTATTTCTTAGGACTCAAGAGGACATTTTCTAGGTAGGGAAATCTGGACATGTGGCACACTTCCCCAGGGCAGAGGGCGTGGTAGATGTTTTGGGGGGTCTTAGCCATTACTAAGCGCTTGGCGTGGGTTGCTACTAGGGGCCGTGGCTCTAAACTTCTTTGTAACTCTAGGTCCTCTAGTTTCTATTTGCCCTGTTTTCCATTGAGAAATGGGGCTAATTATGCCGTCCAGTTCTTTGTGATATTACCCGTGTATTAGTAAACACAGATCTGGACCACAATTAGCGAAAATATATTGACTTATTGTTATTGCTGTGGTAGTGTTGGACAGTGTTGCTGAGAAGCAGTCGGTCATTCTTTATGCATTGCATTAAGAAATATTCAATGCCGCTATTGCTTTGCTCCACTGCCATGGGGGACAGCAATAACATGGCCCTACTCCAGAAACTTGCATGCTTGAAGGTGAGACTGATGGACATACATAGCATATTTCTGTAAGAAAGTACCTGAAGATGTCAAATCAGGCAAGGAAATAGAGACCTGAGGTAGAGATACAGTTAGATAGTGGTTAGCTGGCCTTTGGTGGCTCCGCCCCTCTAATCCCAGCATTTTGGGAGGCTCGAGGTGTACCAATCACTTGAGGTCAGAGTTTGAGACCGAGGCCTGGTCCAATGATGTGAAGTCCCCATCTGTACTTAAATACAAAAATTAGCTGGGCGTGGGGTGGTCAGGCACCTGTAATCCAGCTATTCGGGAAGGTGAAGCAGGAGATGGCTGAAACCTGGGAGTGCAGATCGTTGCAGTGGCTGAGATTCATCTCTGCCTCCAGCCCTGGGCAACGAGTGAGACCCTGTCTAAAAATAAATAAACAGGCTCACTCCAGCCTCAACCTCCTGGGCCCAAACCATCCTCCTACCTCAGCCTCCCGAGTAGCTGGGACCACAGGCACACACCACCACACAGGGTGCCTTATTTTATAGAGACAGGATCTCACAATGTTGTCCAGGCTGGTCTCAAACTCCTGGGTTCAAGAGATCCTCCTGCTTTGACCTCCCAAAGTGCCAGGGGATTAGTCATGAGCTACCATGCTCGCCTGGAATACTTTTATACTTACAGAAAAGTTACAAAGATAAAGTTACAAAGATAATAGAGTTCTCATCTACTCCTGACTCAAGTTCCTCTAATGTTGCCATCTTACATTGTCATGTAATGTACATGGTACATTAGTCACAACTAAGAAACTGGCAGGACTATTAGGTAAACTGCAGGCTTTATTTGGATTTTACCAGTTTTTACACTAATGTCCTTTGTTTCTGGTCCTGGATCCAATCTGGACTACCATGTTGGATTTAGTCACTCTGTCTCCTTAGTCTCCTCTAATCTGTGGCCCTCTCTAAATCTTTCCTTGTTTTTCACAACCTTGAGAGTTGGGGGAGTACTACGCTATTTTGTAAAATGAAGGTTTTTTTTTTTTTTTTTTTGAGATGGAGTCTGGCTCTGTAGCCCAGGCTGGAGTGCAGTGGCCCATCTCTGCTCACTGCAACCTCCGCCTCCCGGATTCAAGCGATTCTCCTGCCTCAGCTTCCTGAGTAACTGCGATTACAGGCATGCGCCACCATGTCCAGCTAATTTTTGTATTTTCAGTAGAGATGGGGTTTCCCCATATTGGCCAGGCTGGTCTCAAACTCCTGGCCTCACGTGATCCTCCTGCCTTGAGTGCTGGGATTACAGGGGTAGGCCACCGTGCCTGGCCCGCAACATTGCATTTTAAGGAGAAGTCCCAGGCACCAGGATCGCCGTATGCTGGACGATGTTAGTCGTCCAGTGACTGGCCGGAATAGGATTTTTGCCAAGAGATCTGCCTTGCTTTTCTTTCCTGGAGACTGATGAGAACCCGGATCTTCAGATTTCAAGTCTGGGTCTATCCATTCGGTTACTTTAAATCCCAGAGGCAAATGGCGCTTACTGCTCACGTCTAGCGTCATGGGATTGTTCTAGCTTGTTCTTTTATTGCTCCTCCTGTTACTAAGATCGGGATCTGACGCCATTTGGAAACCAGGGTCTGACCTCTTCGTTTACCACGTACCTCGCCCTTTAAGGTTTTTCTGTTCCGCCCCTTGTGCCCCCGTGGCGCTAGGAGACTGGAGGCGGGACCTTGTGTCGCTAAGGAAATGCCGTTCACTCAGCTTCCAAAATTGACAGGCTAGTTCTGAAAACTGACCAATCAACTTCTGCGTAAGGGGAAGCGAGACTTCCGATTTGTAGGGGAACCCAGCGGCGATGGGTTAGGGTCCCACCCACTTCTTGTTGAGCGACGCGACTCACTATTCTCGGCTCTGATTGGCCAGAGAGCTCGCGTCGCTTTTGAATCCCCACCCAGCGTACTCCGCCCGCCTCGCCTTCTCCCTCTGGATGGCTAGG